GAACTTCCAACGGCGGCTCCCTTAAGTCCGTCCCATTCACCAACTCAGCATTCGTAGCGGAAAGTCGCTTCTGCGAAGAAACCCGACATCACAACTGCCTCTGCAGCGATACGAGCCACCACTTGGTAAGTGTCGTTGCGCTCATGTCGTCTCCCAATTCCAAGACCGCGTCCTCATCGACAGCGGCACTGTCAGCTCCCGCTGCAACTCCGGTACATATCCATCTCTACCGTATCGTGCCGTTGGATCTTGTGCTCACCATTGTAGTTTGTTCACTTACTGCAGACGTCTCCTGCTGCTGCTCAAGCTTCTACCATATCTGCAACCTTCACGGAAGCTCCTGCTGAGTCGTCGTCGCAGACGACAACTCCACCTCGTTCTTTGCCATCATCATTCCACTAATACTCGTCACTCGTAGTCCACAACATCTCCAGTCATCGACATGACTGCCGAAGATCCCAACCCTTTTGGTGACTCGGACTCCGACTCGGATTCACCGTCGGTTCCTTCGCCAGCGACTGAGACTCGACCCAACTCCACGGTACGTTTTACGTAAAATCGTTTCACTTCCACCTGGCTGACTCCCAATCTTTCAGTCGACCACTCTTCGTGCTGCAGATCCTTCTGCGGCTGGTCCTCTCGTTTCGCCTCATCTGAGCGAGGAGTGAATTTGCGAACTGCTAAACACGTTTCGCAGTACACTCTGGAAAGTGTCTGACAGGCGATGGATGGCCGGCTCGTCGAAATGCTGCGGTTTTACGCCACGCTCCACTGGGGACCGAATGTCCGTGGTTGCACGACCGATGCTGCGCGGTCGTTCGAGGACGTTCTAATATGCAGCGAACCAGTCCCTGTCGATGCCTTGACTGAGTGTGGACGTGAGCTAGCTGGAGTTCAAGCGTCCCTCAAGTCGGCAGAGGCTTCTCGTGCTACCATAGAGAACAAACCCTTCTCGGAGCAGTGTACTCACGCTAACGCGGAGACTTGGGTCAGCAGTTCTCGGTCGATCGTGACGCCGCGCACAAGGAGATCAAGCTTGTCAAGTCGCGTGAGGCCTCGTTGAACGCCCAGAACAGCGAGATGAATGCTGTGATCAAGAGCCACCAAGCGATGTCCGACCATCTCGAGAACCGGATGCAGTTGGAGCATCGCAGCAACGTGATTTTGACCAAGAAGGTGAACCATGCTTGCTCCGAGTATCTGGTTGGAATTCAAGCGTTCAAGAAGTCTCACGAAAACCTTCACAGGCTCCTGTCACTCACCGACCCGACGGAGACTACCCTGACACTCAAGCTTCGTGAGCGCAACCGGGATCTCGTCCGTCGGTTCAAGGCTAACCCGGCTCTCAGTTCGCGACTTCGGCTTGAAGACATGGGCCCTGAAGCCCTGGTCCTCATGGTTGAAGGTGAGTTCCAGTTTTCCAGGTGTTTATCTGTCTCTTTGCTAACTGACCGTTGGTTGTTTCCCTTGAATACAGGTATTGAGCTCGACAAGATCGACTGGGAGACTTTGAATCTTGACTCTCAGACCCACCGTGCTTTGCAGGCAGTTTATAAACTTGGCTTGTCGGATGGTCGCGACCGAGACTCGCTCGCCGACGACATCGCTCGCGCGAAGGTTCGGTTCGCGGATATTCGTGCCAAAACGCAGCGCAAAGCTGAGGAAGCAGCTGCTGCGGTGGGTTGTCGGCTCCTTTCCGCTCATGGTCTCTGTGCGCCGACCGTCTACTCCAGCTGCTCAAGATTCCAGCACTTCCACAACTTCAAGCCCGACTTCGAGCATCCCGCAGTCCTCGGTGGCAGCGCCTGTTCCGTCGCCGTCTTCGTCACGGTCGCTCTCCATCACGCGGACTGGCCCTCCAGTCGTCGTCACTGGCGCTGGACCCACTTCAAGTTGTGCGTCGTCTCCAGCCACACCTGCTGGACAGTCACAGTTGTCGACTGTCCCTCCTGCTCACTCGCCGCCTGCATCGACACCTCCCGCTCCACCAGTTTCCGGCGGGAAGAAGGGCAAGGGTAAGGCCAAGCGACAGCGCACCTGCGGCGATGACGGGGATGTGGATTTCGGTGGTGGTGACTCTGGTGAGGATGATCCTGAAGAGGGTCGTGAGTGTTCGGCAACTTCCTCTCCAGCGACGACTTCCCAACCACTACCGAAAAAGTAGAAGGTTTCTCCTCCTACCACTCCTCCGGCTCCGGGGAAGAAGTCTCAGCCGTCGCCCAAGTCGTCGTCGAGTAAACCAAGCGCTTCCGTAGCCGCTCGCGTCAAGACTGGCTCTGCTCCCAAGAAGATAGATGTGGCGGTGTCTGATGCTGAGTCGATGTCGAGTCCTCGCCTCACCCCAAAGTGCAAGGCCGCCATGGGTTCCGAGTTCCGGTCCTCATTTCGCTTGGCTGGAGGTTCTCGTTCAGACATCAAGTCTCTCACTTTCGAGTTTTCAGCTGGCCAGTCGGTCAAGCCTCCGCGCTCCAAGTCCAAGAAATCTCGTTCTGAGAAGACCGGCACCAAGGCTAAACCTGGCTACTCGTCGTCGGATGAATCTGCCGTTTAAGTTTCATCTGCGTCCGAGTCTGAGTCGAGCTTGGACCTTGATTCTTCGGCGTGAGAGGGCTCTGAGGATCACGAAGATGAGCACAGTGAGCTATCCAAGCTCCGTCCGGAGAACCAGTGTCTGGAGGATGCTTTTGACGATGTTTTCGATGCTCCACCTCCCAAAGATCTGCCCACCAAGAATTCTCGTGTAGTGGAGACTTCTCCTACGCCTAAGCCCAAGGCCAAGTCTTCTCCGGCTGCCAAGGCTGACTCCAAATCGTCGCTTAAGGGCAAAAAGAAGGCTTCATTCAAGTCGACTGGAAAGAAGCAGTCGTCGGCTAAGGCCAAGAAAGTGGCGGCTCTCAAGAAGAAGTCCAGGTCGTCATCAAGACTTCTCGACTCTCCAAGGAGGCGAAGTCGCGAGATGTCACTGACGAGTCTTCTTTGACTGCCAATTTGCCTGACTGGATCTCGAAGTATCCAGAGTTGGTTAAGCTTGCCCAACGCGCTTCCGACCTACTGACTCCGTACTTGACTACTGAATTCACCACCGTCAGCGCACAGAAGTACTGGGTCAAGCTCGAGCAGTCGTTCCTGCCTTCTCCCATGCCTTCCGACGCGGAGATTAAGTGCACGACGGTTGACATCGAGAACTTTTGCAAGTTTATGGCTCCCGACCACCCATGGCGGAAGCCGATGGACAAGTGGCCTGAGCACGCCTGTCTTTTCGATACCACCGCCTTCCAGCTGGACTCTCACATCTCTCAGCGAGCTGACTACCCGAATCGGCTTTGTGGAGTTTGGCGCCGGCTCCGCGACTATGGCGACGAGAAGTCGGCAGTGATGAGTTTCGCTATTTATGAGCGCACGCTCTGGGTCTCTCCAGAGGCTATAAAGCGCTTCTTCTCTCGGATGACTGCTCGGCTCGGGACTATAAAGGATCCTAAGGAGCATCACCAGTTCAAGTTGGCTCTCGAGCATTTAAAAAGGTGTGGTTCACATACAACAAGAAACGCGCGGACCGAGCCGACAACTTGCGGACATTCCTCCCTGCCTTGGTGTGTCGGTCCGGATGCCTCGCTCCCAATCGAAACTCGTCTGGACCCGACTCTCCCGTTTTACACCATGAAAATATCATGTGGCTTCCTGGGTCAGCCGATTGGTGTGCAGAGGCTGCGCTAGTGGACGAGTCGAAGCCATGTCGTGTAGACTGGTTGACTTGTCCAGAGCAGCACGCGTACAACACGGTGTACGTTCCGTGTAACGCTCACGTGCCGCTCTTCCTTCCTGCCAACTCGACTGTCGAAGTTCTCGGTCCACTGATCGTTCCCGACTAGTCTTTGGAACCGGATGACATCGACACCTCGTGGGATTGCGCCTTTCGTGGAGCTGACGAGGATGAGGAGATGGAGAACGGCGAAGTTGGAGAGGGCGATGCTGACGCCGTCGCCACTATGGACTTGGATCAAGATTTGGCTGACGACACCTCGGCTGATCCTCAAGATGCGGCGGCTGAAGCTGATTTGATCTTGCTCATTGCGGAGTCATCTCCGCCGCCGGAGTCTGGCGTTGGCGCCGAAATCTGAGCTACCTGTTTGTTGTTTCACAGTTTTGCAGAGTGGTAATCGTTCAATTCTTTTTTCGTCATTTCCATTTCCATCGCATTCCGAGAAATTCATATCATACATTCATATAGCAGCAGTAGCAATTTCCGTCTGGCATTGTGAGATGCTTTGCCTCACACCCAGGTCATTCTTCGTGGTATTTTCGACTTTCAATCCTCGTCGACGACTTGGACCATTTGTAGACGTTGTTCGCTCTTCTAGTTGTCATACAGGAGCCCTCCACACGACAAGTTAGAGGCTGGTTCCCATGTAGTTGACTCGTAGCCAACCCACTTCACCTCAAATTCGCGCACAGGTCTGTCCGTGCTGGTCGACATTGGTGTTCTGTCGCTCAAAATCGCTTCCACCTCGAATTCACCGGCAGCTTCATCTGGCTTCCAGCTGTCTTCGGGCAACAGCTCTTCAAAGTCGAATCTCGCTCCCTTCCGCAACATATCGAGCTAGTCGCGCCTTTGGCCGATCACAAATTCTGTTTACAGCCTTCAGTCGAGAGACGTGCACCACTGGGTTGAACCGATACCCGCTTTTATCTGGTAACCCTAGCTCGTACGCGAGCTCTTCGACCTTCCGCTTCACTCTGAAGGGACCATGTCATCGGTGAGCCAGCCTTTTAGCTAGTCCTGGCTTCACTCGCTCCATATACAGCCAAACCTGGCTTCCAGGTTGAAATAGAGACCTCGGTTCCGAGTCATCGTCGGACGAGCCATCGTTCACACCTTTTGGTATCGCGGTTTGCTCTTTGCGACTGAGCTTCTCGTTGTGAATTCTAGCGCGTCGGGCCTTCTCTACAGCTTGGTATTCCTTTGCCATCTCGAGAGCAATCTGCAGTTGGTGGTTAATCTCTCGTCGCCAGGCTAGTGCCTCAGTCTGCTTACCAATACCATTGCTTGTAGTGTCGTATGGGCATCCCATCCATGTACCAAATAGAATGATGTCTCTTTCCTGGTCATACCAAAACACCAGTCGTTCAGCGATCTCATCCCAGTCTTGCTGTAGGGGGTCTTCCACGTAGACTGTGACAGACTGCATTACGGTTTTGACCGACTGCTCTTGCAGTCCGTTTGCTTGTGGTCGGTAGCATAGTATCGCCCTTGACCGTGCTTGTATTAACTCGGCAAAGGCCTGGAAGACCTCGCTCATGAAGCGTGGGTCTCGGTCGTGGCGAATAAGAGACGGAGCACCAAATCGTCTGTAGATGCATTCTTCGAACACCTTGGCCACAGCCAGGACATCGGTATTCTACATCGCTTTCGCAATCACAAACCCAGTAAACGAACACTGCCATAGCAATAAGGCCGTGTTCCCTCGACGAGATATCGGCAGAGGAATCACAAAGTCCATTGACACCACCTGGAATGGTCGCTCTGCGAGCACACTGCCAGGTGAGTAGCCTTTGAGCTGCGGCAGGCTCTTACTCGAGCTGCAGTCGAGGCATGATTTCACATGTTTCTCCACATCTGCGTAGAGACTGATCCAGTAGTAGTCGTGTTTTACTCTCTGATAAAGCGGACGACACCTTGGTGCTCTCCTTCGATGGACTCATGACAGTTATGCAGTAGTTGTGTAGCACCTCTTGGATCATTGTGGTTGGCACCACAAGCCTCAACGACATCTCGGGCAGGTTTTCCTCGACCTTTCTTCTACTCACGCCCGTGTAATACAGGACATTGGCACTTGATAGCACAAAGTTGTCCGCCCACTTGTTGTAGGTCATCGCTGTGGTTTCTCCTCTCAGGACAGCTTTCAGGTTCGACCACCTCAGCTCATCGTCCTGAGCCTGGGCGATACGGCGCCTTCGCTCTTCTTGGACTGTAACGGGGTCAATTTCATTGGCGTTGGTTCGTATCGGACCTCAGCACTTGGTCGTTGCACTTGCATTCTCGAGTCCTCATTGACTGCCTCTGTTGCCTCAGCATTAGTCGTTCCATCAGAAACTGCGTCCTCGAAGTGCACTCTTTTCTTCTTGGTTTTGGTCTGACGTCGAGTTGTAGCTGAGACTTCGGTAGGTTCTTGGTGCGCAAAATCAGCAAAGGTCTTACGTTGTTGCAGAATATCGCTGGTCGTAGCATGAATATAACGTGTCTTTCCGTCTAGAATTTGAACGAAAGTCCCTGAACTCGTGTTTTTGACCTTGATGTCGTCTGAAGACGGCTCATAGATCATTTCTTGGATTCTGTTCGGTTCCTTGAGCTCAGTCTTGCGGTGGTCGTTGAGCACCACTTTAGACACCTTCGACTCCAATGCCTCACCAGCGAGCGAGTCAGCAGCTGCGTTGTACTCGCGTACCACATGCGGATATCGGACTGACTTGAGCTTCGCAACGAGTTCTCGGTGGCGGTTCAGGAGTGTCATCAGCGAATCCTTCCGACATGCGATCACCCCTAGTGATTGCTGGATTGCCAACCTCGAGTCTCCAATGATGACTAAATCCTCAGCACCACGTTCAAGGGCTGCTATCCCCCATGGTTCATGCCACTGTACTCAGCCATATTCACCGTAGTTTGCTCGAGGAAGGCACTCGCAGCGATCCCTATCTGCCGCTCTGGAAGTTTCCATACAATCCATGAGCAGCTACCGTAGCCACCATTCTTCTCTGTCTTAGCGGGACCGTCAAATGAGACCACAAACCCTTCTTAGCTGTGTGGTAGCTGAGCGTACAGCAGACTTGGGTCTAACCGTGTACTCTGTGAACCTTTGGTCGGCGGTGCCACAAGTGCTAGCGAGTCGTCCAAGTCCTCGAAGTTAGT